AATTATTTGAGTCATTTCAGTAATTAGATTGGCTATTATATTAAAATTAATTTTACTGTATTACTATTGATTGTATTAATTAAATTTAGAAGGGTGTCAAGTAGGAAGAACGTTGGCTTTCAATTTAATTATCATATATTTTACCTAAAATATGTATTCATGCATTGGTAATGTGATATAAAATAGATTTTGACCTCTTTGAGGGTTTTGGAAGCTACTTTTTGAATTTCTACAACGTTGAAATAATATATTACATGAATATATATTGTTAAGATAATTTTATATTAAATGTTATTAAAAACACGTATATCACTACACGAATAGAGCAAATTGGCAACGGTTCAAAACCCCCCAAAGGCAACGGTTTTGAACCGTTGCGTATTAGAGAGTTGCCAAATCCCAAAATAATTGGCAACAGTTCAAAACCGTTGCCAACTCAAGCAATTGGCAACGGTTAACCGTTGCCAACTCAACAAATTGGCAACGGTTAACCGTTGCCAATTGTTATGGCGCCTTTTTTTTTAATTAAATTTAATGTAGTTGGCACCGGTTAACCGGTGCCATTGACTTGTTTTTCTTTTTTTTTTTTACAGTTCAAAATCAGCATCAACTTGCACCATAATCGTTTAAACCAAAAAAAAAACACCAGAATCGTATCAATGAACAACAAAACACCAAAAAAACAATGAACACCATAATATACATGAATATATTATATTAATTAAATTGTTATTTTACAATTTATAAAAAAATTATATAAATAAAAACGTAACAATGAACAACAAAACACCAAATCCTTGAATCTTGAATCCTTCGTCTATGAGCAATCGCTGTAGTTGTAATACTACCTGCATCAATTAAATTAAAACCCCAAAAATTAGAAAAAAATTCGAACCAATAACCATGAAACTAATAAACCCAGAACATTAAACAAAGAAAAAACCATTGTTACGTTTTAATCTAGAACCTAATAAACCCAGAAAAAACCAATAATCTAGAACGAACCTAATAAACCCAGAAAAAACTAACAAAAAAACTAGAAACAATAAACCCAGAAAAAAACAAAGAAATTCGAACCTAAAAAATTCTGAAAAAATCCGAACCCAGAAACCCAGAAATTTAAACAGAAAAAACCAATAAAATTCAAACCAATCAAATTCGAAACCCAGAAAACAATCCGAACCCAAAAACCCAGAAAAAACCAAAGGAATTTGAACCCCAAAATTCAAAAAAAATCCGAACCCAGAAATTTAAACCCAAAAAACCCAAAAAATTCAAGAAACTAAGAAACCGAGAAAAAATCGAGAAAAAAAATACCAGGTATTCGAACCTAGAAATATCCCAAAAAACGAAAAAAATTTCGAACCCAGAAATTAAAACACGAAAAAAACCAGAAAAAATCTAAAAAATACCTTGCGAATATGAATTGGAGAGATCTGAGGTGCATGCGAGATTTTGGAGATAATTCTAAGTGAGATGAGAGAGAAGGAGCTCTGAATGAATAATGAATTTGAGGGAGATGAGAGAGAACGAGAATGAATTTGAGGGAGATGAGAGAGAACGAGAATGAATTTGAGAGAGAAATAGAGGGGCGGCTAAGGGAAAGAATAAAAGGAGCCCAAATTTTTTTTTTAGTTGCCAACACTAATCCTCTTATTTTTTTATTTTTTTTTTAAATAATCAGTTGGCAACGGTTAACCGTTGCCAACTCTAACCCTTTTATTTTTTTTCTTTTTTAAAAAAAAATAATCAGTTGGCAACGGTTAACCGTTGCCAATTCTGAAATTTTAATTGGCGCTCATTTTAGTTGGCAACGGTTTTCATGAACCGCTGCCATAAGGGGGTTGCCTATTTAGTTTTTTCTACTAGTGTATATGATAATATTATAAACATACTCTCTATGCTATGTGTTAAACTTCTACATTCATACCCATATATATATTGTATTTCTTTTAAAAGGTAATAACCCTAAGTATTTAATCTAAATCAAACAATGGCTTCTTCACCTATGATAATTTTTTTTTTTTTTTTTAAAAAAAAATCTAATGTCATTACAACATGTCAAACAAATACATTTTTTTCCATGTATAATACAGAAATCTATAGTGTAAGATTTCTATTTTACATTTCCAATTAGAGTTAAGAAACTATCGTAAAAAAAAAAACTTTAAAAATTACACTATAATTAAACATGAATTATGCAATAAATGAACTTTTGCTTCGTATTGATCTAGTATTATTATATTCAAGTGATTATGGATATATTTTACCTACCTAGCAAAAAAAAAATAGTATAAAAGCACATAATGTGATATGCAATGTTTGATATGCTCATAATCATAGTGAATTTACCACGATTTAAACTTAAAAAAAAAAATACAGGCACATACATGAACTAGCAAACACAAGCAAGTTCATTACTCAATAACTCAATGAAAAATTTAATAAATAAGTATATGATGTCTTCAATACATCAATATTTATGTTTCGTTTTGATTTTATATTTTTTTATTGGAAAAATACACTTTAAAAATCTCAACTATGGGCGATTTACTTCTAATAATCCCAACTAAGGTTTATTATCTAATAATCCCAACTATGCTATGAGTTTGCCTCCAGTGGTCCCAACCAGTCAACACCAAGCCAACGACTTGCTATAACAAGTAACTAGACACGTGTCAACACGTGATTGGTCTAAAATAAACAAAAAATTAAAAAGGAATAAAAAACCCAAAAAACCCTAATATCCACTACCCCTCTCCTTCCCTCACCGTAACACCCCTAGCCTACTGGAAAACGGCCAGCCGACCCCTCCCAACCCCCGAAACCACTCTAGCCGGCCCACCCCCAAACCACCCTGCTCCCTTCTCCTGCCCTAAAAAATAACCCTCCTACCTTCCCTTACTGTCAAAACCGTCCCTCCTCCCTTCCCCAACCCTCGAAAACGGCCCCCCAGGAAGTTTGGAGGGTGGGGGAAAGGAGAGAGAACGGCTATTATGGTTTTTTTTTCCGCAAGGGGGGAAAGAAGAGAAGGGTGGTTAAGAGGGTGGGGTGGATCGTCTGTGTATTAATTGGGGTGACGGTGGGCAAAATTCGATGTTGTTTGCTTAAGGGCGGCTTTGTTGATGTTGGATTGCTATGTGCGGTGGTTAGGTGCGAGGTGGCCTAGTGGTACTTGTGCGGCATTGATGGTTGCACGGGAGTTGTTGCGGTGTTGTGGGATTGCTAGGTTATTAATGCGGCATTTGGAAATAAGGTCTGGGAGTGGTGGAGGTTAATGGGTAGCCTAGGGTTTCACGGTGAGAGAAGTGGTGAGGGGAAGGGGCAGGCGGTGGCTGGGAATTGAATTGGTTTTTAGGTTTTTTCTTCTTTTTTTTAATCTTTTTTAATATTGGAGAAACCACATGCCGACACGTGGCTTCAAAAAAATATTTACCTTTTCAGCATGTTACCGGTCATTGGGACCACTGGAGGCAAACTCATATCATATGGGATTATTAGATAATAAACCTTAGTTTTGATTATTAGAATTAAATCACCCATAGTTGGAATTATTAAAGTGTATTTTTCCTTTATTATTTTGTATCACTTATAGTGCATAATGAATTAATTTTTTTAAAATGATGATTTTAATCTTCAACTTAAATATCTAATTAATAAGAATCCAATTGGATTAGTTCATACTCCTTTTTTCATTCACTATAAAAATATTGAAATTTATAGAGGCATAAATTGATGTGAATAAGGGAATGGAATAGAACATTTACTTTTCCCTTATATAGATTCCAAACAATAGTGAAATGCTGCATTTTTATTTTTTTTTATGGAACATAATATGTTGTGAAACATATGCGCCGTTTTATGTTGTATATTAAACTTTGTGCGACTTAAGTCTCTAATTTAATGGTGAAACAGACTTCAGCAAAGCCTATTCAGTTAGTCAAAGTTATGTTATTCAGTAATGTGTATGTTCTTAGAAAAGCTTTGAGAATTCATGCTATAGAGAATAGGTATGAGTACTACTTTCTTCACAATGACACAAAGGGTCGAATATTCATTATTGCAAGAGGAGGTGTAACCATGTCTACAATAATAAAGCCTGTAGACTGCCTAAATGTTCATGTAGGAAAAGTGTGATGTTTTGGGTAAAAATACACATATCACGTGGCCTAATCAGAATGGGACACGTGTCACCCCAAGACATGTCCAATAAAGGCCACTCACCAGTTGACACGTGGCACTCCAAATCAGCAAGGGAAAAAGACGGCTTTCAGGGCCCAATTCCCTAAACTGCCAAAAAATGGCGCAGCCTGTCAGTCCTAGATTTCCGTAACCTAGGACGAGGGCACAAATTTCAATGATCCTATAAATAGGGATATTTACCCAACTTTAAAACACATTCAATCATTGAACACTAAATTCTCTCGAAAATAGAGAAAAACACCTGATCTCGAAATCCGAGAAGATCCTACACTAGTAGAAAAATTGAAAAAGGCACCCCCTTTTTGCCACCGGTTCTTGAAAACCGGTGGGAAAAGTTTTGTTTTATAAAAAAAAAAAAAAAAAAAGAGGGAAAATGGATTTGCCACCGGTTCTAACCAAAACGGTGGGAAAAGTATGTTTCTCTCACCGGTTCTAACAAAACCGGTGGGAAAAGTGTTATGAAATAAAAAAAACCGCTTATATTCTTCTTTCTTTCTCCTTCAATTCCTCGATCTTTCCTCCTTTCTCGTCTGCGCTACCTCTCTCTCCTCTCCCTCTCCTCCATTAAAATGAACCTCTCTGTACTCCTTCATATCTTTCTCGCCGTACTCCTTCCTCTCTCCCTCGTCCATTTAAGCGTTTCTCGTTGTACTCTTTCCTCTCTCTCTCTCCTCCATTTAAGCGTACTCCTCCCTTTCACCGCTCTAATTTGTGGTCAATTTTTCCGCTCGCCACAGCCCTCTCTTTCACTCACTCACTACTAAAGGTAATGTTTGAAATTATCACCTTAATTGAGAATGAATTTTGATTTGGGTAGTGTTTTGGGTGTTTGTACTATCCCTAATTTATGGGTAATTAAACGACATGCAAATTGGAGTTTTTTACTTTTTAAAATTTTCTTGCTTTAATTGATTAGTTCTTTCTTTAATTCATTAGTTCAGATGTAATTTATAGGTATTCATTTTGGTCAATGCAATTGCATGTGCTATGTAGTTCTTTCGCCCATTTATGTTTGAGAGTTGCTGTATTTTTCTGGGTTCTGGTTGAATATTGTGAAATTTGCAAGATCTGTGTTTACAAATTTGATGAATGAAGCATGTGATAACTTTCTGTTAATCGATGTTGGTGTTAATCAGGCATGACTTGAAAATGCATTTCACAATGTCAGAATCATTATCACTAAATTCATCATCATTATTTGATATGACGTTGTGTTTTATTATTATTTATTTAGCTTTATTTGTGGTGATCTTAATCTTAGTGTTGTTACTATTGTTAGTTGTCTTGAATTTGAGCTAAATTTTGTAAAAATAATAATTTGATATTTAATTTTGTTGTGGTGTTGTATTCCATTTTTCGCACAAAACTGAATTGAAAGTTCATATAGCACTTGTTACCTCTGTTGTTGTGGTGCCTTGTTCAAGTAAGCTCTGGGTGTTTATCTTTACAAATTGAGGGATCCAGAGTACTTGTGAATATCTTATGAAGGTAGTGATTAATTAATTCTCAATGTCGTCTGAATTATGTTGCTACTTTTGGTCAACTCAAGCTAAGTTTCTATATACGAGTCTCTAGATACTAGATTAGGATTGCATATTTGGGAGGGTTGAAGGTGAAGGATGTTGTTAGTGGGGAGGTTAAGGATGTGCAGGTTTCTTATTTTTCGGTGTTTAGAGAGACATAAAGAGCAATGATATAAATCGAAATGATGACCGGATTACGGAATGCACATTCTAGATTTGTGGTACAATCGTATAAGTGTTGTGATATGTTTTGTTGATGATGTTATCAGGGAGATGATTTGTGTGTTAGCTGCTACTACATTGATAGTGAGCTCAATGCTTATGCCATATCTTCTTCTCAGGTCAACTGCTTAGCTTGCTTATCTATTTTTATACAACTATTGTACGAATACACAAAGGAAGTACGGAATTATGTTGAGTACATTTGATAATTCGGTTCCATGGAAAGTCGAAAAACCTTTAAACTGTTGCCATGCTTCGGTGATTGTAAGTTGTAATTGCTCTGTGTAAATGGATCATTTGGTAAAAAAAAAATAAAAAAATAAAAAAATAAGTTGTTTGGATGAACTATTTTAATGTTAATTTGTTTTATGGAATGAGCGTTACCCTTGGCCCTGAATCTCCAAGACGATACAGAAAAAGTGTCAGTGGGATGTCTTTGTGGCTTGACGGCTTTAAGAGAAGTAATGTTGTTTCTGCATCTGGTATACTTGAGTTTGTTTACAGGTTTGCTTTCTGAAATTTACTTAAGTTTTTAGTGACAATGTTAAAATTATTCCGTTGAGACATTAAAAATAAGGAATTGGCAATCCTCTTTATGTGATCATAGGGACAAAACCGAATTGGGTAGTGAAGATGAGAAATCTTATCAGTCCGATTAGTGCCATTTTTATAGATTGATCAATGGATTTTGTAAATGTTGCTAACAAATCAATTATGTTTCATAACTTGATGCTTGAATCTAGGTGTTAGATTTTATTACATATATGCTGCTGTTTTGATTCTTTGTAATTTACGTGAGAATCGTAAAAGGAGGTATTAATTGCTTTCTTATGGTAATAAATAATTGTCGTAGCAGACCTCATTACAGCTTATAATGTCATATTATTGTGTTTGGCTGGTGTCATTGCTTTGCTAAGAATGTATAATTCAAGTATAATTTACATCTTAATATGATTTTTGGTCTCAGTATCTCAAGTGCTCTCTTTCTCCACCCTCTTTGTCAATCTATCCTTGTTGGAGAGTAATTTCTTGTAGATTCAAATCATGGTGAAACTACTGATATGAACAGAACTCTGATTGCACTTTACTTGATGACTATAAGAGTATAAGCTGGCTACTTCTTTTGCAGGGATTTGTAGAAGGCGACTCAGAATTTCACAACATTGGTTGGCCAGGGTGCATAATGTGCTGTGTACAAAGCTCAGATGTCAACTGGTGAAATAGTTGCTGTGAAGGTGTTGGCAACTGATTCAAAGCAAGGGGAGCAAGAATTTGAAACAGAGGTAATGTCATATTTTAATCAGTGCAGCTTCTTAGTGGCAATATAATCTATACCAAGGTTCATCCTTACATGTCCTGTGTGGTAGACAAGTTATTGTCTCTTTTTATGCTGTAGTTATTGTGCTGATTGATTCTTGATCTCACCTTCTTTTATTGCATGCTCTTGTTTCTCAGGTTAAACTGTTAGGAAGGTTGCATCACAGGAACCTCTTGAATTTGCTTGGATATTGTACAAAGAAGGGAAAAAACATGCTTATATATGCGTATATGAGCAATGGCAGCCTAGCTTCCCATTTATACAGTAAGTGAACAAATTATATCTTCAGCATTTATGCGAGCCTAGGTTAATGTAGAAATAAGAGTGTTCTAGCCCTTCTAGGTGTCATTGCAATGATATGAAATAATCAGATTTAACCAACTTTTTTTCCAGGAAAATAATTACTGTGCATGTAAATGGATACATTGAGATATGTTGAAAAGTTACGATATTTGATTTTCATCTGTGGATTGACTGACGAACATCAATGATTAAACTACCTTGCAAACCTAGTTTTGTGAACCTTTCTTACGTTGGAGCCTGCAAATTGACAGGTTTCCTCATTTTTCAGCTTAAGTGATCCCATTACAAGGATAATTGCAATTGGGGCTTCCATGCATGCAACTATGCAAGCTTAATTAGGAAGAGGTTCTTCTGTGAAAAGTGGCTCTATAGGAAGTTCTTGTCGCTTGAACTTCTTGTTCAGCATCCCTAATTGGTATCCTCCTGTTCAGACCAGTGACACCAGTCCCATTAACAAAATCTATAGTTGTCTGAATAAGATTTTGTTTCCCTTATCATCTATTAATCAAACTTTGATTTTTCCTTTTCTTATGATCTTCTAGAGCGTAATTTTTATTGCTATTCGCGTGAAGTGATGGAGGGTAGTATCCGAATTGGGTTGAAATTTGTTGTGAAATAGAACTACAGGACTTGAATTACAATCTTGGGTTGATTATTCCAGTTTTAGGTGAGCTGTATCTTAGAATTTTACTACAATTAAATAGATTCTACGAATGCTCATTTGGACCCTTTTCTTTTGATTTTAGCATGGTGGCATTGAGGTACTTGGGGAACTAAATTCTTTGCTTTGCAACTTATATACTGTTATAGCTGGACGATAAACTGAATGAATTGTAGTAGCGTAATAATAAGTTTGGGGAATGCTTTGGGTCTGATATTCCTGTTTGTCTGTCATATGATTGGTTCCTTTTGGCAATAGGACATTAATAAAAAACCTCTATTTTGGCATTAAATCATCAAAAATACATATAAGTAGGCATTCATGTTGATTTATAATAGGCTGATGAATAATATAGGTTCTCCTTCAGGAATTTGAGTGCATTAAATTTTAACCTGCCTGACCTGACTCGTGCTTCTACTGTATATATATGTAGTATGAAATTTGGTTTTTTGCTGTTTTCAATCTGATTTCTTCCTTCTGCTTTCAGGCAGTTCCTCCTGTGATACATCGTGACATTAAATCTTCCAACATTTTGTTGGATCAGTCAATGAAAGCTAGGGTATGTACATTGTTATCACTTAAATCTCCTGTGATACTCTAGAGTTAGCTTGAATCCTTCCCCTACAATGGACATCAATGCTGCCATCGGCAATGAGGACACCAGCTTGGGTGGGGAAATGGCATTTGATACTACAAAGACAAACTCATTGCCACCAATGTCACTGTGCTCTGCTCTGCATCAGTTTTGCATTCTTGCCACCCTTGAAGTCCTGAGTTCTATTAGTTTTTGTATACTGTCAGACAACATATGTTAGTGTTTATATGTCCAAAAGTATATATGTTAGTGTTTATATGTCCATTTTTTTTAGTTTTTTAAAGTGTAATATTACAAGTTATTGAGGCAAATATATGTGTTTTATGTATATTATGATTATATATAAGTATTTGGTACAATTTAAGTGAAAAAAATGCAAAAAAAAAAAAAAACAATTTAATTTTTTGGGGCACTTTTGCCACCGGGTCAGTGTGAAAACCGGTGGGAAATGTTATAGTTTTGCCACCGGTTCACTTGAAAACCGGTGGGAAAAGTGCTCATCTAAAACATAAATCAGAAGTTTTTGCCACCGGTTCACTCCAAAACCGGTGGAAAAAGTTGTTTTTGCCACCGGTTTAAAACTGGTGGCATATCTTTGAGGATTTACCACCCCCCAAATCAAGAACAGTTCAAAACCGGTGGGGAATGTGTGGTTTGAACTGGTGGGGATTGGGGTTTTTCGTCTAGTGCTACTTTACTTTTCGCACTTTTTTACATTCTCCGTACACGTTCTAACTTGATCGTCAAAGGCGGAACTCCACCCAACCGGAGTCTCCGTTGTTTTGCAGGTATAGGCGCCCGGAATCTAGTCTTAGTGATGTCACTCTCCCGATGGATACAGAAAACCCCAAAACATTTGGCGCCGTCTGTGGGGAGAATACCTCTAAGATGGCTTCACAACAGTCTGTACCGTCTCCTAATGAGAAACGGCCTACGGCCAAAGCTGAGGTCTATTCGGACCATGACAATGATGATGACTTTGAAGTCGAAACGTATGTGGTCGCTGATGGGTCACTCGACGCACCCGTCCCAAGGAAAGAAGGGAACGGGGCGATGATCAGACTGGTCCAAGTAAGGCACAACCCTAATCACTCAAGACGAACTCATGAAATTCATGACAAGTCTCAAGGGGGAGATTAAGGACCTAATTAACAAGAGGACAACTAGCTCCAACAGAGGTCAGTCGGCCAAGAAACCTTCTCCCTCTGAGAAGAACAAACCGGTCAGGGACCGAGAGCCCACTCTGCATCCTAAATCAAAGGAGGGGAAGCGGCCCTTGATCGATCTTACCAAGATTCGATTCCCTAAGACAGGGAAAAGGAAGGTCATCCGACATGTCTAGATGGATGGCTCAAAGAAGACATACTCTAATGCCCGGTTCCTAATCGAGCAGAAAAGAAACCAACAATTATCCGAGTTGACTTCAACGTCGACCTACCAAGACAGCTTCCAGAATACCTTAATGAGGTATTCTTAATCTGCACGAGAAAGTCAGTCAGGTGGCCTGTCCGTCCACACCGGCCCTCAGATGATCCATTCGGTCCTGTATGTACCTCAACAATGATACCTGCTGTATGGACAACCTTACATGCAACCGTCCCTCTTTGGGGGTCAGGCGCACAAAACGTCCAACCTTTGGACTGGCAGCTCCGTCTGCTAAAACTTGAAGAACAACCTTCTGCATTCTCTAGGGAAATAACCGAGGCGGCACAGCCAGCCAAGGTTAAAAATGTTTTGGTGGGTACATATGATGGGACCACCAACCCTGAAGATCACCTCATGGCATACAACAACCTCATGTACCTGCAGGGGTTGGATGACGCCACCTGGTGTCGATGCTTCCCGGCTAAATTGAAGGGCATTGCCCAACAATGGTTCGGCAATTTGCCAGCCGGCTGCATCAACAGCTTCAAGACATTTGCGTTCTTGTTTGCTTCAAACTTCTCTATGAATATCCCTACCATGAAAACAAGTCTTGACTTGGGTGCAGTGCAGCAGGGGGATAGAGAAGGGCTTCGGTCATATGTCAGGCGGTTCAATTTGGTGAGACTCCAGATTCGAGGGCTGTCTGACAAGGTGGCTTATACAAACTTCTATAAGGGTCTGAAGGACAGGTCGACTTTTAAGTTTAACCTCGTCAGAAAGAGGGTTACCATCCTACAAGAAGTGCTGATAGAGGCGGAAGCCTATATACAGGCGACCAAGATCTGCTCCATCAACAAACAATCAGACTCCAGGAAGTCTGATAAAAAAGAGAGTCAGCCTGCTCAGCCGGCCAAGAAAGCTGAAAAGAGTAAAAAGAGAAAAGAAATATGGGCGGTTAATGACTCTATTTATCCGTCCTAGAAGAAAAAGAAAAAGTTTAAATCGTACGTTCCAAAGTACGAGTTTAACAAAGACTCCTACTCCATCCTCATGGAGATAAAAGATCGGGTGACCATAAAAGCCGGTTGCTATGAAAGGTTCTGCCAAAAATCAGAACAAAAACAAGTACTGCCATTTCCATGAGGATATTGGTCACGACACCAACGACTGCTATAATCTCAAGCGGTTGTTAGACCGTCTGGCTGATAAGGAGGTGTTAAAGTCTTACATCCTGAAGTCCAAGGTGACTCTAAGGACAAACCCCGGGTAGTCATCCAAAAAGGATGCCCAACCTGCTAGTAGTTCTGACACTGACAAAGAGCCGATCTACACAATAGCAAGCGGCTTTGCTGGAGGGGGCCCGACCATCAGGGGCACGAAGGACCATGTTAGACGACTGGACGTCAATTCAGTTGATGAGGGCCAGGCGTCTACTAACACCTTCCCTGAGGTCATCATCACTGACAAGGACAGGGGCAAGGTTCGTCGACCGCATGATGACCCCATTGTCATTGAGTACAAAGTGGCCAACCAAAAGGTCAGCAGGATCCTCATTGACACCGGAAGCTCGTATAAAATCATCAGCCACAAGTGCTTGTCAAAGCTTAAGTACAAGCCCGGCAGCATGCACAAGGTGTCTCACCCCTTGGTTGGCTTTGGAGGTGGGGTTGTGCACCTAGTCGGACGGATTGATCTGCCCATCCGGCTGGGGGAGAAAGAAGAGGGACGCCACATGGTAGTCCGGTTCTTAGTCGTAGAGGAGCTGACCACCTATAATTTGATATTGGGTCGTTCGACTTTCAATGCATCCAAGGCCGTTATTATCCCATCCCTCATGCTCTTTAAATTTCAGAAGGATAATGGGTCTGTTGGCTCCCTGACCGGGGACCAGAAGACGACTAGGGAATTTTTCAAACTCAACCTTTTGAGCCCCACTGTGTTCATGCTTTTAGGCATGGCGGAGCGCCAAGGGAAGGAAAATAGAGATAGTAGAGTCGCCAACAAGTTTTAGGAACTTGTAAACCGTTCAAAGGTGCGAAGGTTACACCTCATTCACGATCACGGATATCGCTAACTCCAAAGTGGTCTGGAACCATGACTGGATATTCGGGGATGATGGTACGAATCCAACCAAAAAGAGATTGAACCCGCCCTAAATCGGCCTCTACTCCATTCTTATGATATTCATGTGCGCTTTTTGATCAACATACATACATCAAGTTAGCCCTAAACATGTTTAATCTACGTTGGTTGATTATTAATGCACAAACAAATCTATTATTGGTGATCACTTGAATTAAAATCATATTAGCCTAAATCAAATTATTAATTATCTTATTAGGCGTGGTTTCAAATACAAATTCCCTTTAAACCTGCAAAAAGGGCATGATCAAGCAATAACAATAAACCATGAATAATCAAGCAACATATGATTAATTGACACAACAATCATCATCATAATCAAAATCATCAAAATATGATTAGCAAGATCCTACGCATGATACTAAACAGATTAATAACAAATCCTAGCATGTCACTAATAAAAATCATAATCAAAACATTATCCTAAACATGATACTAGAAATCATAAAAACATTTAACATGATACTAGGAATTAAAATAATATCCTAAACATGATTTCTACTCCAAAATCAAGGATTAAGTGATTGAATAACTTACGTTGATGTTCCTCCCTTCTTGCTATTAAAACAATAAACACGTTAGTAACTTTAAGAAAGATTAAATCAGCAAAGTAAATAAATCAAATAATAATTGAAATATAGATTTGGGACCAAACCCTCAGAACTATCAACCTTTCACATCGATGTCGAAAGCAACGTCGAGGATGGTTAGGATTATTCGAATCTCGTGAAGAATGTATGGCTTTTGATCTAAGAGAGTACCAAGGATGTGTTTAGGCTAGGCTAAGAACATGAAGAATTAAGAGAGAGAAAAAGAGAGAGTGAGAAAGAGAGAGAGAGGGTTGATGATGAATGTTGGTGAATGAAAACGGAGTGATACGGCCTCTATATATAGAAAAAAGAGAGTCGAAGGATTAGAAAATAGTCAGAATTAAAATCAAAGTAAAATGCCGCGATGAACCTGTCGCGGCGCGATGGTGCTGTCGCTCAGCGATGGTTTTGAAAAGATAGAATCCGTACGGAGTTTGATTCCCTATCGGATTGGGTCAACCAAATATTCGTACGTATTCTATTTTGACCGGGATTAGGATCATTGAAAAAATAGATGTTTTATCCGTTGTATAATTCTTAAACCTTTATCTTTTCGAAAACAAAATAAATTAGAACCTTCTAAAGGGTTCTAGAAGCTCATAATAAATCCTAATGGATTCAGGATCAAAAACAACCTTCTAGAATATTCTAGAAGCTTGTGATAAATCCTAATTGGTTTAGGAATGGGATTAAGGTAAATGGACTTTCCTCATGATCATTGGGTCGCAGGCAAGGCTTGGTTCAGGTTCGGTTTAGTATTTTGGCCATAACTTCTTCGTTATAATTTGGATTTAGGCTTATAATATATCGTTGGAAAGCTCTTTTCAAGCCCCATCCAACTATAAAATAATTAGTCCGATATCATGGACCAAAACAGACTGGTTTGGACGTTTTTATAAAGTGGACACGAAATGAATTATTTTGTTTTAAAACATTTAAAGAAAGGTTAAAGGAAATTCACAAGACTCTTCAACCTTTCACCTAACTTGTTAATCAAAGACGTGAAAGGTACTCATCACTGGGTTTGGTTTTTGGGGAAACACAATCAGGTGTCTACAGAAGCCCCCACTTTGACTAAGTTTGGAGAAACGTAAGTTTCGAAAACAAAAGTCAAAGTAGATCGATAGGGATGGAGAATGATTCAGAACGTTTGGAAATCCTAAATCACTCTTTTTAACGTCGTTACCTACAGAAAGCGTCTGTTC